GGGCTCGAGTTACTTGGCGAAATGGCTGCCGGGTGCTGATGGCAGGTTTGGTGAGTTTGAGAAAGAGGAATCTTGAAAAGAGGGTGAGGATGAGACTTACCTTTGAGCAGATGAGACGGCGCTGAAGGGCACGTTTGAGGCCTCTGTACCCGCCAGGCCAAGGCGGTACTATGTGCCTTTGTTGGTGTTCATGGTCTTTCTGAGGTTGGAGGTTTTTCATCAGGTTACGGCGCAGTTGCAGTGCTCCACGCCGGGAGTCCAAGTACGTTGACCAAATTTGTGTCGAGGGACAAAACTGACCGTGTAACAGTCTCTTCTGTGCACGCTGCTGGTGTTTTACGACATCTATTACTGCCGAAGACCGCTCCCACCTCCAGAACGCCCTCTCGAGCCATGGGACAGTGCCTGGGAAGACGTCAAGAGATGGCTCAATGGCGCCCATGTCACCATGCTTCTGAGCGCCCTGATTCTTGGCTACGGAACATTCCTCGCCGTCGACCAGGAGCCTCCTTCGACGTTCTTCTGCTCGACTCTCCTGGACAGCCGGGTCCTGACACTTGCCCTCCAACTGCTGGGGTTGTTCTTGGACGCCGCCATCGCCATCATCCTCCACCGGATTCTCTCGTGGACAAAGACGACGAAGCTGAGGCTGAGAACCCTCGGCGTGATCCAGGCCCTGACTGGTGTCTTCATCAAAGTCTTCCAGATTCTCGCCTCTCCTTTCATCTCCACCGATGAGGGATACCCCACGTCCATCAGGGGTCTCGACTCGCTGTACTTCTTCGACATTTTCATCGACAGCTTTACCTTCACCGCATTGATCGGCTCGCTCGCCATCCTCGTCTGCGAGACCAGTCCTTCCGTCCCGGCCAGCGTCATCACCTTCATATCTGGAATGTCAGCAGCCTACCAAAACGTTACGCGCATCGGCCAATGGCAGATTCACTCCAAGTTCGCCGCCATCCTCCCGCTGTACTTCATCGCCACGGGCTTCGGGTCCCTCTTGTACACCGCCAACATTAGGTCCGTCCTCTTTGTTCGGAGGGTCGTCATCGTTGTCGTGCTGCCCTTCTTCCTCTTGGGCATGACCCTGTATGGCGCCCTCAAGTCGGATACAGTCAAGGGGCATCCTCTCGAGAGGGAAATCTATAACGCCAGAGTCAACGGCGACAGATGGCTGCGCCAAGCCTCGACCAGTGACAGCCTCCGCATCGCCGCCGAAGTCTACCAGGAGAGACACTACGGGCGTCTCCCGCCGCCCAACTTTGACAAGTGGTACGAGTTCGCCAAGGAACGCAAGTCCGTCATCATCGATCACTTTGAGCAGATGGAGAGCGACATCCTTCCGTTCTGGGGCATGAAGCCCGAGATGATCCGCAAGGCGTACGACGAGAGGATCCCGAAGGAGCCGCGGATGGCCGTGGTCACGATCCAGGACAAGAAAGCAATCCACAACTACATGTGGGACGACGAGAACAAGAAGATGCTCGACGCGATGATTGACATGATTCACGGATTCGTAGAGCATCTGTCGGATATGAAAATACCGATTAACCTGGCTGATCAGCCGAGAGTCCTGACTCCGTGGACAGATTTGATTAGGTATACGAAGGCTGGTAGGAACTCATCGAAGAAGTTCAAGTTGCTATCCTCACGATCCGAGGAGTCTGCTGGAGGGCCACCTCCCGAGCCTCCGAAGCCAGATGCTGCGCCCGAGGGCCAGAAACAAGAAGAACCTCCTAAGCAGGAGGAGCCGAAGCAGGAGATCCAACCACCCGCCCAAAACCAACCCGCAGAACCCCAATTGGGTCTGCCGCCCGCCGCACCGCAGTCAAATGCAATGGCATACGCCTCCACCAAAGCCTTCCGCGAACTAGAGGCCTCAGTCTGTCCCGCCGATAGCCCCGGCCGCTCAGGCCTCCACTGGAACATCCGCGACTTCTGCTCCGACTGCGTCAAGTTTCACTCCGAGGACCAGTTCATCTTTAGCTGGGCCGAGTCCAAGGCCCTCTGCGACCAGCAGGACATCACCCGCCTGCACAGCTTCCACCTCTCCGCCCCGAAGATCGACCCGATCCAGGAACTCATACCCGTCTTCGGCAGGTCCAAGGCCGACGGCTTCAACGACATCCTCATTCCCCTCGTGCCGCCGGAGGACGAGGCCGCCGACCTCAACAAGCCGTTCCGCCAGCGCAAGGACGCGCTCTACTGGCGCGGCGCGATAGGCGACCGGCCCATCAGCGACGAGACCCTCCGCGGCAGCCACAAGAACCGGCTGGTGCACCTCGTCAACAACGCCACGGTCGTGGACGAGGTGACGATGCTGCTCGTCGCGCCCGCGCAGAAGAACTACTTCGCCTACGAGGCCGTCCGCGCCGCCGAGGCCAACAGCATCCTGCCCTTCAACGTCGGCATCGCTGAGTACGACTGCCAGGGCCCGGCGTGCGACGTCGCCCGCGCCGAGCTGGGGCAAGTGCCCGCGGACGTGGACCCCCTGGAGCACCGCTACGTGTTCCTTCTTGACGAGGACTCGGCGCCGCCGCGGGACTTTCTGCGCACCATCCGCTCCGCCGGCAGCGTGCCTTTCCTGACGTCGGTGTTTGGGGAGTGGTACTCGGAGCGGCTGATCCCGTGGCTGCACTTCGTGCCGATCGACCTGCGGTACCACGCGCTGCACAGCACGCTCGCGTACTTTGTCGGGCTCAACGGCAAGGGCAAGGTCAACGGGCGGACCATCGAGACGGAGTCGCGGTGGGAGGACGGCGAGTGGATCGCCACGCAGGGGAAGCGGTGGGCGGAGCAGGCGATTCGGAGGGAGGACATGGAGATTTACCTCTTCCGGCTGCTGCTGGAGTGGGGCCGTGTTGTGAGGGACGATCGGGATAGCATTGGTTTCCGGATGGACAAGGCGTAAAAACGGGGGTATCTTCTGTAATAGTATATTTATTTTTAAAAAGAAAAAAGTGTGTTATGTGTTCATCTGGTTATTTGGGCATGAATCGTGCTCTTGCCGGGTTGGCATGTTGATTTTGAGGCACGTCTGAAGAGGTACGGACGCTATTGATTGAAACCGACAAGAACATGCTGAAACCTAGAAACTCAATCTATCGTGGCTGTTTGAGTTCATGTTCCTGTTGATCGAATGCAGCCGAAGTTCCGATCGTTAACTCGGGCCGGCATCTCACCGATCATCACCCCATATCCTCGCCAGGCAATCACAACCTCTAGAGAACAGATCTTCAAGGGTCACTGCGGTTGCAAGACTATCTCATCGATGAGCTAAGAGTAAAATACAGTATTGATCTTGCAACGCATCATCAGACGGCGAGCGTTCGACGCCAGTGAACAACACGGCATGCTTGACTTCCCACAACGGGTCGATCAATGTGAATACGACACTGAGAATGCCATAGAAGCGTCGATCGGTCTCGCTTCGCAACGCAGTTGTGATTCTCCAAAGAGGAACAGGGAGAAACCTAGTAAAAGTATGTCTTTTCGTCAATCAGCCCACCGAGTAACACGCGTGGTTATTGAAGTCGTCCATGACGGCGAGAACGAAAGCGGTATGTCGTCCGGGAAAGTGGGGACACCTTCCCCGACGGGTCCGGCACCGTTGCGGCTTTGTCCACCGGCGGCCTCGTGGCTTGCAACAACGTCCCGAGCAGCTTCAAGCTTATGCAGGGTCAACGAGAACTCCCCTGCATGCGTTCTTTTCGAAGAGTCTGTTCTCCGAAGAACCACGCATCTATACGCAGCAAGTAAAGACAGCTGTTCCGCTCGGAAGCAGTTCTTTGCGAACCGAACCCAGGAAAGGAAACAAGCTCGCCACAAAACAGAGCCCCTGGATAGGTGGGCTGCCTTATCCCGTAACCTACCTGACCTTACCGAGGGATGGGTGTTGCTGGGCTGTCCCCAAGACTGATCAAACAGGGGTGAGTCGTTCGGGAGGTGGTTGAGGATGAAGCTTGTTTCAGAGTGACAGGCGGAAGCAGAGTGGGAATTCGGCGGTGGGCGGCCTCGTGAAGAAGCTTGGATGCAAGACGCTTAGCAGAGCGACAGAAAGTCAGTCAAAGGGGGTAAAAAAGAGACTGTGTAGGCGAAAACTTCCCTGTAACTGTCCTCGATCACGAGCCGGGAAAAAACCACAGCTGCAGCTGTTGTGGCACCATCAAGTGCCTATCATACCGGGCAGTACCTCAGTGCTTGATGCGGCGGCGCGGTCGCAGCTTGGGTCTACCTTAAAACTAAACCCCCCGAGCTCCTGATTGCTCGCCTCCGTGTCTGACGTTATTGTTCCTAGTAGGCAGCCTAGCAAGGTAGCCCGGGAGACTCGGATGCAAAGTACCTTTCCGCATTGCGACGGTGGAGTGCTACGTGGCCCAGTTGTATCTCCGCGAGGGGTGTGCCTGCCGGCCGCTGCCCAAGGTGCCTGAGAAAAAGCTGAAGCTGCCCTGGCTTCCGCGACCTCCAACGCTAAGCCCGCGGCCTAAGCTTAGCCCCTCCCCCTCCAAACATTGTACGGCCCAATGTCACTTTACCCCGCCATTTCTTTCCCAGCAAGGAACAAAGACCGCCGATTGAACCTGACCTCACTCCCCGTCGAAGCTTCTGTTGTGCTGCTGCCGCCGCTACTACTACTGCTGCTGCTGCTGCTGCGAGAAAGATTGCTTACATACCCACCGCCCACCATCTCCGTCCGACTGCTACATCCCACCTCTTCGACCGGCCAAAGTCGCAATCTTTCGTCCGTCTACAACCTCTCACCCACCCCGATCTTCGTGCTAGACACACGATTACTCCATCCAAATCTCCATAGACCGCCCGGCGCAGCCAAAAGCGCCTTCTCTCCCTCCCCCATCCCACCTCCTCTGACTGAGAGCTCCGCCATACCCCGCGCGCGACACATCGTCCCAATACAGCCCACCCGGCATACCACCTCCAAACCTCACAAAGCTCGAAAACACATACCTCCATAAACAACAGCCCAACGTCCAGCAAAAATGGTCGACCGGCCCAACAAGCCCGCCGCCCTGGCAACCACGCCCGGCCTGCCGCCCCAAGCGACCGTCAACATCACCCACTCAAACACCCGCGTAACCGCCACCCTCCCCACCGGCGAATCCGTCTCCGTCCTCCTCCACGGCGCCACCGTCCTCTCCTGGAAGTCCGCATCCGGCCGCGACCGCCTCTGGCTCTCCGAGAACACCGTCTTCGACGGCACGAAGCCCGTCCGCGGCGGCATCCCCCTCGTCTTCCCCGTCTTCGGCCCCCCCTCCGACGCCCACCCGCCCACCGCCAAGCTCTCCCAGCACGGCTTCGCCCGCTCCTCCCGCTGGGAGTTCCTCGGCAAGTCCACCAGCGAGGGCAGCGACAACTCCTCCGTGAAGCTCGACTTCGGCCTGTCCTCGGCCAACCTCGACGACGAGACCAAGGCCAAGTGGGGGTACAAGTTCGGCGCCATCTACAGCGTCACCCTCGACCGCGAGTCTCTCTCGACGTCAATCGTCATCACGAACGAGGGCGAGGAGGCGTTTGACTGCCAGGTCCTGCTGCACACCTACCTCCGCGTAAACGTACGTTCCCTTTTTGCCTCGGCTATATTCACCGCATACTAACTCCTTGACCCCCAGGACATCACAAAAATTTCAGTCCAAGGCCTCGACAACGCCCCGTACACCGACAAGGTCGACGCCGGCGCCGCAAAGACCCAGTCTGGCGACATCACAATCACCTCCGAGACAGACCGCATCTACACGCCCCCCGCCGGCCCCAAGGCCCCCGTCACCGTCGTCGAGGCCGGCGAGCCCGTCTACTCCGTCGTGCGCGACAACCTCGACAATGTCGTCGTCTGGAACCCTTGGATCGAAAAGGCCGAGGGCATCGCCGACTTCGCCCCCAAGGACGGCTACAAGAACATGCTGTGCGTCGAGCCCGGCGCCGTCAAGGGCTGGCAGAAGCTGGAGCCCAACGATGCCTTCGAGGGCGCCCAGGTCATCACTGCTTTGTGAAGGCAGGCTCTGTCGTTCAGGTCTGTAATCTGACGAGGGGGGTCGTGGCTGGCAGTCGGTGTTCGCTGGGACAGACGGCCAGAGGGGCAAGAGGCTCACAAACGTATTTCTTTCGAAATGTCTCGGGGACAAACCAAATCTAGGAAATGCCAAAGTTAGAGGGGGGCGGGCTATTTAGACGGCCAATCTACGTTTGTGTGTTTGCGAGTTGTGTGTTGCGCGAGGAGGACAGGAAGCAAACAAACGGTATCATGAACCCAAGCAGGTGAGGGCGGTGTGCGGGCAAAGCAGGGCCCGGAGATTTAACCACTACCCTTTGAAATACAAATCACGATTGAAACGGCCCACGCCATCAAAGAAGCTTTTCCGTCACACAAGAAAATTGATTCACAAATGAGACAAACCGGTTCGGGTCATGATTGAATTATGTTTTGATTTTCATTATCCTGGGTGATGGGTGGGGTTCATCAACACCTCAGATGCATGCTTCGCGACAATTTTCCTGGAATACATAATGAGGACGAATGGAACCTTCTTGCCCTTCCTCCACCCCTCCCTCCCTCGTGCCATGGCTGGTTTTTGGGTCTCCTCCAAAAAGAGAACCAAATTTCTTCTTTTTCGTACAATCAAGAAAAGAATACGTTGCAGCTACCCTGAGTCTCTCTTCCGTCTCCAAGGCCGATGAACCCAAAAGATCTGCGCCGGTAATGCAAGAACAGGTCGTGATGAATGATGTTGGTGTGGTTGTGGTTTGTGTGTCAGGAATATTGACATATCCCCGTGGGGACGTTGATGGGAAAATAGAAAAGGACAATGATAACAATAGACATTGGTATTTGATGGGGGCGGTGGTGTTTGTGGACTTCAAGCTCGTCCGCGAGCCTCGGCGGCGAAGAGCTCGCGCTTGATGTCCATGAGCATATCCTCCATCTTGTAAACCTCTTCGCGCGACAGGGACGCGGAGCGGAGGTTGGCGAGGACGCTGCTCAGTGAGCCGAGCATGTTGACGTCCTTGGCGGGCTTATCGGCGGGCTCCGCGGGGGTCTCCTCCATGCCTGGGGATGTAGGTTGTGGGGAAAGAGATTCTGAAGGAGGTTGGACGTGAGCCGGGGTAGACGCGGGAAGTTGTTCAGGAATGTCGACCTCCATGGAGTCTTCGAAGGCGGCGCTAGGGGTGGGCTGCAGCTCCGTCGGCGACTCCTGAGACTGGCTTTCGCGGAAGCTTGCCTCTTGTTGCTCGGCGACAACCTGGGATTGGACTTCGGCTTCGTAGTCATCGCTGCGAGATCCGGTGGACCGTCGCGAGGGTGTGTCGTGTGGACCGGGCTGGACGTCCTGAGAGGACGATCCAAGAAGGGGAGACATCATTTGCGAAGTCTCAGCCTGCGAAACTTCCGGTTCGGGCTGCGACGACGAGACGACTTCATCGGCGCTATCGACGGAGCGGCGCTTCTTGCGGCGGGTGTCGTACTTCGATGAGCCCCTCTTGCGCTTTTTCTTTCCAGACTTGTCGGGGGATGAAGCCGTAGTAGAATCAGCCGGAGTGGCGAGTGCCTCTTGCGAAAGGGATTTGCTCTTCCTGGATCGGGTCTCCACCTGGGACAGAGCAAGCTCCGCCGGCTCATCATCTTCAACTTCTTCCTCGTCCGAGTCGTCCTCGCCGCCAACAGTGATGCAGTCCAGCACAGGTGTCTTCTGCTTCTTCGTGCTCCTGGGTGTCCTGTCAGCTCGGGGAGGTGACACTGCAGGGTAGTCGTTGATCGGGAGGTCGCACCGCCTACGGTCGAGTTCCACCACAAGTCTCAACATGCTACTTTCGTCGCCGTCACTCATTTCAAAAGACCGGTTGTTAGCAGCGTTGCGCAAGGCAGAACGAGTCAGAACGTTGGGCGCAGGGCTGGAAGGAGCATCAACAAACACCTCGCCGCCCGACCTTGGCTCGTCCATGTCGACCGTCCGGGTGTTCTTAGGAGTAGACGGAGTGTCTTCGGCCTCGTTTGCCAGCGCAGACTCGGTAGTGATGTCCTCGGATTCTTGAGCCTCCGGCGCCGTTTCGAAGGCAGACGGAGGGAGTTCGGGTTCAGCAACGCTGGAGGGTATCATCTGGAATGAGTCGTCAACGGCGGAGCCCAGGTCAGGACTGGCTGATCTCGATTCTTGCTGAGGCGCGACGTTCTTCGACAGCTCAAGCTTGGTAGGCTCTTCCGTCGAGGCTGCAGCCTCCACAGGAGGTGAGCCAGAAACAGGAGAAGAGCTGAATTGCCAGTCCTCCAGTTCACTGCGACTGCTAGATCGCGACTTGATCTGGGAGAGTAGAGGGAATGGACGGGGTTCAGGTGGCGAAGATGGCGGGTCTGTCATGTCCTGATCGTGGTCTTGTTCGGCAATAGCAATGGCTTGGCCTCGTCTAGGGGTTGGGGTTGAGCTGACGAACTCTTCGTAGCGCTGGCTTCGCTTTGGCGTGACATCCTTGGGAGTCTCGGGGCCCTTCGCTGGAGCGGCGTCAAGCTTAGGAGGTTCATTCTCCTTAGATTGAGGAGCAGGGCTGGAGCGCATCTCAGGGAACATTGCTGAAGTGTCCTTCTGTCTTTCCCGGATTTCCTTCTGTCGCTCCGTGAGAACTTGCGATTCCACGTCTGTGTTGGGATTCAAAGGCGACATCTCGATTGGCGCAAATTGTATTTGTGAATCGTCGTGCCTCAAGCGAGCTGTAGGAGTACGGGCCTTGCCACGCGTTCTTTTGGAGACCTTTTGGGCCTTGAGCTTCGCAGATGAACGCTGTATCGAGCTGAGTGGAGAAGACTGGTTGGACACAGACCGGAGCTTCTTGCGTGACGAACGCGTCGATTCGACACTCAGCATTTCGATGTCGTCCTGAGACTCAACGAACGACCGGTTCTGCCCAGTAGACGCGATGCTAGCGACTTCAAGACCTGGCAAAACAATGTCGACCATGGGCTGTACAGAAAGCAGTACGGCCTTGAGGTGCTCGGGGTACTGAATGTTCTCTGCGTTTTCGTACAGACGATTCCATGTCTCCGAGATCGAGTTGACAATGTGTCGATGCTTGCTTTCGAAGGCGGCGCAAAACAATTCCTCGTACATATCCAAGTGGATTTCTTCCGGCTTGTCGCCTGACAAGATGATCTTTGAGATGGTATCCCAGAGCAACTTGACCTACGCATGGTTAGGAAAGTATTCTTTATTCCATCAGAATGGGTACTTACTGCTTCCGATGACGCAGGGCTCTGCCGAGTCTTGATAATGCCCTGCGAATCCCGAATCCACATGGTAAGACCACTCTCCAGGTTGGCCATGGCCTTTGGAACAAGCTCTGGGTTGCAGCGGGACAAGAAGCCGGCTGTTTCTCTCAGGAAACTGGCGACATTTTCATTGAGACTTCCATTCTCGCCATTCTCGTACAGACGCTCCAACAATTCACCGGTCAGCTTGTACAAGTAGTCGAAAGGGTCGAAGGATAAAGATCTGGGGCCGGTAATAGCCGTACCCCATAATCTTCGCCGAGCTGCTTCAAGAGCTTGTCTGTCAAGCGGATGACTGGCAACAGACAGCAACTCCGTTGTAGCTACAATTGTCTTTGAAGGAATCGTCGCGGCACGTTCTGTGGGAAGGCTTTCCCGAATGACCTTTGCAAGTGGTTCGATTGCTCCTAGGGCCCGACCAGCTTCGCCAGCTTCCTCGCTGGATCTGTTAGACAACAGGGAGTAGAGTGTGGACCAGTGTTGCCAAGGCAAGTTCGGCGCCTCCTTCCATCCGCGCTCAAGGAGCCGAACTACTGCACGGTACTCGGGACCAAGAATCGGCTCGCCAGTCGAGCTGTTCGTCTGGGCACTATTCTGAGACATGTTGAGAGTGGCAACTAGGCAATCGGAGGCAAACACCCATGGCGCATAGGGTACTTGTGCATCTGTGGGTGACCAACTGGGAGGAATGGAAAGCATCTCCTGGGCAAGGTCAGAGCGGGCCTTTGGTGATTTGTTTGCAAAGAACGGCGTGAAGACGGCGCGATAAAAGTCAACGAAGTCCTCGTTATCCGGAATACCAGGGGGAAGCCGTGAGACCAAGCCGAACAGATGGTGGAGGGGCGTTCTGGTGTCTCCAGAGGTCTTGCCGGGCTTGTGAGAAGGCGTTGAGACAGGCGTAAAGGTTTGAGTGCGTCCTAGTGAGATCATCTTCTCGGTGAAGGGCAGCAGACCCAAAGCTTCAACTGCTATTGTGATGAGCTCCTGCGCACTTCCCAAGAATCGCACCGCCGTTTCTGAGTCAGGCTCTTTCATGTCGCCCAAACCAGTCTCCCAGTGCTTCAGCAGAAGGCCACACATCTGCGAAAGGAAAGCGGTGGTGTCAACGGAGACCTTGATCTCTTTCGAGCAGGCGGATGCAACAGCTCCCACTAAGGTGCGCCATAACCGATTTACTTGGCTCTTCTTGTCCCCGAGCTCGAGAAAATGCCTGTCCATGATGGGGTCCATGACCTGAAAAACACTGACTGCGTTGCGTCGAAGCCACTTGGGGTCGATAGATGGAAGCTCTTCAGGTCGGGCGAGAGTCGTTTCCTTAATACGATCTTCCCTCCAGATTCGGTGCGTGGATGAATCGAAGAGGCCGATCAATACCAGGGTCATTTGCCGCAGGTGCTCATCGACGATGTCAGGATTACGCGCGGATACCTTGGGGAGTTCTGTGATCGGCTTCACGGCGGCGTCCCAGTAGTTGTCGAGGAGTGTTGCGCTTGTGCCAGGCCTGAAGGTGTAGTAAAGGAGGTTGCAGATGCTGCCAAAAACAACCTCGCGGATGTGTTTGCTTGTGTATTTTGACTTGATCTGGCTGCCAAGGGGTTGGTATAATGTGGGAAGAAGCTTCACAAAAGACTGGCCCTCAGTATGCATAGACCAAACGAATCGGTTCCAGGCATGGTTCGCCTCCTGCTTGGTCTGTGGGTGGTCGTTGTTGTTGAAGCACATCTGGATGAGCTGCAG